CTTATTGACGGAAGTTGTTAAATGTCATGTGGATGCCACATTGCATGCCAATAGGGTTCCATGCCACATAGACTAAAATTCCTAAAATCCTAATTACTCCTCCCCCCCCCCCCCCCGTCATTTCATTATTTTCCATAAAACGATTTCACCCCTTCTCCCTCATTTCGCAGCTAGGGTTTCACAGTTTTCTTCGTGGCTGGGTTTCAAAGTAGATATTCGTGGTTGTAGGTTAGTAAATCTTTTTTCTTATTTTATTATGTTTACGACTTTCCAAAAGCATGATAGTTATGATTTCACAACTTTCCCCTCATTTCGCGGCTAGGGTTTCATAACTTTCTTCGGGGCTGAATTTCAATGTGGATATTCGTGTTGTAGGTTAGTAAATCTTTTTTGTTATTTCAGTATGTTTGCGATTTCAAAGCATGATAGTTAGGATTTCACAACTTTTCCCTCATTTCGTGGCTAGGGTTTCATAGCTTTCTTCGGAGCTGGGTTTCAAAGTGGATATTCGTGGTTGTAAACATAATAAAATAAGAAAAAAGATTTTACTAACCTACAACCACGAATATCCACTTTAAAACCCAGCGACGAAGAAAACTGTGAAACCCTAGCCGCGAAATGAGGGAGAATGGGTGAAATTGTTTCTGGAAAATAATGAAATGAGGGGAAAAAAGTAATCAAAATTTAGTGATTTAGTCTATGTGGCAGTGGAACCCTATTGGCGTGCAATGTGGCATCCACATGGAATTCACATGGCATTTAACAACTTCCGTTAATAAGAAGGGCACTTTTGACGACCCAATAGTTTGACGGAAATGGTAGCTTTGAGCCGAAATATAGTTTAAGGGTAAATATGAGCTATTTCGAATAGTTTGAGGGTATTTTTTACCCTTTTCCTTTTAGTCTATGAGGCAGTGGAATCCTATTGGCGTGCAATCTGGAATCCACATGGCATTTAACAACTTCCGTTAATAAGAAGGGCACTTTTGACCTAATAGTTTGATGGAAAGGGTAGTTTTGAGCCGAAATATAGTTTAGGGATAAATATGAGCTATTTCAGATAGTTTAAGGGTATTTTTGACCATTTTCCGAAGAAAAAATTGTAAGTTCAACGATCATATGAAAAAAATAAAATAACTTGAACTTACAATAGAACTCAAAAATAAAATCAATTAAGAAGACGAAGAAGGAGTAGGAGCAGCGGGAGCAGAAGCAGGGGAAGAAGCAAAGGCAGAGCAAACAGCTGGACTCTGTTTTCCCTTAAAATTTGGCTTAATATTTTCACAACTTGATTTTGCTGGTCCTTCTTTACCACTATATGAAATGTCAATGTCTCCAACTTCAACACCTTCACATGGTGAGCCTTTGGTACAAAGTAGTGATACTACACTTTGAGTTCTTGATGTACCCTTTATGTTTAGGAATGTCACCTTGCTAATCTTCACTTGTGAAGGCAACTGCAAAAGACGCGATAAAGAATGATGAGTTGGATGCATGAAAGTTTAGTGTAACGATAGAAATTCAGAGTCGTTGTTGGTATGTATGACTAGGAGGTCACCATGCAAGGGATGGAAACCGCCTTTTGTAAAGGTAAGTAAAATTGTGGACAATAGATTCAATGTGAGGGCGATCAGATAACTAGGATAAAACACTTTCTATTATGATGTTATCTATTTTTGGTGCTGTAAAGATATGACACCTGGGCCTAACTCAACCTCAAAAGCTAGCTCTTGAGGGGAGGTTTGTCCAAGTTCATATAAGGAGACCAAATTTCATCCCTCTACGGATGTGGGACTTTTTAACACTCCCCGCACTCCCAAACCTCAACTAGATAGTGAACACTTCTAAATGGGGGCCTAATATCGGTGAACAACAAATCAGGATGGGCCTGACTCTGATACCATGTGCAGCATCTATGCATGACAAAAAAAGGAACGATGCAAAGACATGAAAACGCAATACTTACATCTTTGTTGCATTTGCCACTTGGGCAATAAACTTGATCAATGACAACAGGGTTGCTAACATTTTGCACAATGATATCTTCAAAATGTATGTCAAAGACAACACCAGGATGAGAAGCAGGCCATATTTTAATCCTAACACCATTATCAGTGCTAATGAAAGAGCAATTCTTAACAAAAACACCAATAACTGGCTTTTCATCAGGGTTGCCACCAAGGCTACCAACATTAATACCATGACCAGGTCCACAAGTGACTTTAGTGATGTAAAGTTGTTCTGTTTCATCGTCAATGGAGATACAATCATCACCAGTAGCAAAGTTAGAGTATGTAACATTCACGGAGCTTGATCTTGAGATGTGGATGCCATCAGTGTTGGGGCTACTAGCTGGAGCACTGACGTTGAACTGGAGGAACGTTAAGTTCTTGCATTGGTTCACGTTAACGTGGAATGATTTGCTGTCCAATGTTGTTATGTCCTTGATTATGGAATTTGTGAGGGAGTTGAAGCTCAAATTCTACACCATATGCAAATATAAGAAAGAAAAAAAGTACATTTATCAGAGTCAACAAATTTTGAAAGTTTGACCAAACAGAAACGTCTTATGACTTACATTGGGAAGCTTGGTGCACTTTTTGGACTCTTTGCATTCCCATGCAGCTTTACCTTGACCATCAAGGACTCCACCACCAGACATTGTGAAGAAATCAAGTTTGTTGATTGTTAACCATTCACCAGTCTTGATTTGGTTTGGGTCTGAAGGAGCTTTCAAAGTGGCTTGGATTTGAAGTTCAATAGGTCCTTTGCATGGGCCTTCTAGTTTCACTTGGTTCATTTGGAATGTTCCCTTTGGGATCACAATGGTGCTTGGGCTTGTTGATTGACATGCCTCTTTAAAAGCTTTGCCCACAGCCTAAACAATAACAAAGTAGAAAAAGAATTGCAATTAGTTTTGAAGATATTTATAATGTGCTTTTTTTGGTCTTTTGGTTTTGTTTCAATGACAAGTGGTGTACGATCAGCTTGTACGCATTTTGACTATTTCACATGCATATGTTACATTTCATCAGTAATACAAGAGTAACTATGTTCTTCAAGATTTAGACAAATAAGAAGAAAACATCTAATAATTTTTTTCTTTTTGATTTCCCAACCTAATGCCCAATATGGCTCGACTTATCCAGATTCGCGTCAGAAATTACAGTTCTCACTTTAAGGATTAAAATACTTTGTAGCCAAGGTATAACTCCATATTTCTATTGTAATTTGAATGTAAATTCAGACGTGTTATATGTTTTTAACTCCATTTTCCACTGAACACAACAATGACGAAGTTAAGAATTTCAACAAATCTTGAACCCCTTTGCATTTCCACTAGAATCTTTTATTCAACTATTCATGTGTATGCAAATGAATTAATTTTCATCTCTTATGATTTTTGGATGAAAGAAATTCAATTGAACCGCCTTATTATATTCATCTAGCTCTGCCCCTATCTAGGTCACACCCTTCGGTGCAATAGATGTTTTCACTTGAGTGAAAGTATTTAAAAATGCATGACTTACCTCACTAATATCAGCATTGGCATTGGCACCATATTTTGTTATATCAAAAGTTACCATTTTGAGATTCACCAATTTGTGCTAGAAGTAACACACCTAATGCAATATGAACCAACTTGAATTTCAAATCCATCTTTTAAAACCCCTCCAACTTCTTTTTTTTTAGTTTTTTAGTTTTTGGGGTGGTATATATACTTCAATGTCTTCTATGAATTTGTATTATGAATGTTGAAGCCTATTTATAGTGTAATTTTTTTTTGGCACAATTGAAACTTTCCACCTATTTTAAACCATTGATTGAGTTGCGGAGAAGAAATTGGAAATAATAAGTTCTACACGGCACATCTTTTTTGTTTTTGTTTTTACTTGGTCTATTTTTTTCTACAAATTAAAGAAAAATATATATATATAAGTTAAAACTACACGAAAAGTGCTTATAATAGGGAATTGAGGTGACATATTGATTGGAATTTATATATATGTGTGCTTTTTTTGTTGAAGTCGTTTAATTAATTTGAATTGACACTGGAAAGGATATATATACACTAGAATAAGAGTTTTTCCTATTGAAGTGAAAGGTTCTCCGACCTCATTTTTTGGTTGCTCCATTCTTTAATATTGTGAGCTACTCCCTCGATCTCATTTTAACTGTCGTTTTAGTTTTTTTTTTCACTTTCATTAAGAATAATAATAAATATAAAGTATAATTTACTTATAAGTTATTCTTTATTTATTAGATGTTTTTTAAAAACCGATAATTATTAAGGAGAATTAGTTCTTTAAAATTGACAATTTTGGTCTTCAAATTTATAGAAGTGATATTTATTTTGGGCTAAAATAACATTTAAAATGAGACGGATAAAATTAAACTTAAAAAGATAGAGAACTGAGTCGTGGCAAGATTAAAATGATTTTTCCTCCAAAGGTCTTATGGATAAAATATCCATAATTCCACGTGATTCACACTTCAATTCCTTTTGTGAAATGAAATATGTGAGTATGTGGTCGAAATAAAAAAATTTATACAAATATTGACGGATTCAGAATTTTCTATTAAGAATGTTTGAGATATAAAAATATCATGTTTGAGACCTACATAAATTTTGAACCTCTAAATTATTAAATCAATCTCTAATATTGTGTTTATGAGTTTCAAAAAATGACAAATATACTTTTTTAAAAGAAAAAGAGAAAAAAACTTATATATACCATGTAATTTTTATTCAAGACGAACCCTTTGATACCACTTGGTTCTGCCATTGTATAGGACCACCATAGCACATGTCTAATATTCTTTCGGATTTAATTAGAGGTCTGAATTTAAATATTTGAAATTATAATTATAATTATAATTAATTGATATGTATTTTATTATTTTAACCTTACGAGAATTAAAAGTGGGGGTGGGGGGTGGGGTGCGGGGTTTGAGGTGTGGGTGAAGAAATTTCAAAATGACCAAAAACCCAAGAACATAATATCTTCTTGATTAAAAAAGACACATTTTTTATTTTCTTTGCTAGTTTCTCCAGTTTTGAGTACTTTGGGTTTATAATTCTTGATAAAGGTTAGTCTTTTTTATTTACCCATTCATTTTCCCTTTTGGGTTTTTGATTTTATGGTTCTAGTGTTGTGATTTGTTCTTTACATTTTGTGTGTTAAGAAAATTGTGGAAAAAATAATTAGTGGGGTACCATCAAGGTTCTTTGAAAAGTTTTAACTTTTGTAATGGAAATTGGTTAATTATGTTAGATAGTCAAAAAAGCTTAGATCTTTTTGATCTGTTCCCTAGGAAAAGCTAGGATTAGTTAAGAATTGCCTAAGAAAAAAGGTTTAAGTTATGAAGAAAATTGAACCAATATAAGTAGATTGGGGTTGTAACCTAGGGTGTAGGGTAGTGGTTAATGAATTGGGTTGAGTACCATGAGGTCTCGGGTTTAAATTCCAACCGAGACGAAATACTAGGTGATTTGTTTCTATTTGTTGTAGCTTTGGTAGACAGAGTTATCTGATATCTATTGTTGTTCATACATGGATGGGGGTTGAGTGATAATTTGGTTGATATCTGTGGTTTGTGTGTGTATACCTTAGAATTTTTATTTGAACTCAACGATGAAATCCTTTGCTAGAAATCTTCTAATTTAAGTTCTTGTTTCTGCTTAGGTTTATCAGGTTTTCTCCTGCAAAGATCTTAGCTTTTTAGTAATGCATAAACTTGAGAAAAAAAAAGATCTTCTTCTTTACACTGTATTTATGTAGTGTTACTTGAGCCGAGGGTCTTTCGGAAACAGTCTCTCTATCTCTACGAAGTAGGGTAAGGCTGCGTACACTGTACCCTCCCCAGACCCCACTTGACTTGTGGGAATACACTGGGTATGTTGTTGTCGTACACTATATTTTACCTTTTTTTGGGTTTTAGGGATTTTGGTTCTTTCTGAAAGATTGTTTCTTTTTAGTTTCTGAAGCATTTGTCGTTCTTTATCTCGGCGCCTTTTGATAAATTTTAGTGTACATATGAGGTCTTTGGTTCTATTGATATCTATATCAGTACCATTTCAGATTTTCTGCGTTCTGTTTTAGACGGAGGAGTACCATTTATCATAGCAAATAAGAACTCATGCTGTCTAAGCTAAGCAATAGAAACTGATTGTTAAGTGCTATTGGAATGTGACTAGTCGTGCGATTTCATACAATCAGTAGATATCCTGTGTCATGTTTGGGGATTAATCTTGTATGACTTGTTGCTTCACTGGAAGACACGGTTTTCCTGATGACTTTTAGGCTTCTCTCCTTGCTCTGTGTGTGTGTTCATGTTTTTTTTTGCGAACTTCTTAGTTTCCTTTTTGGGTTGCTCCGTTCTTTAATACTGTGAGCCACATCTGCTCCATTATTTCTTCTGAGGTACCTTTTTATTTTGTAATGCTAATATATGATTTGTTTTCTTGTTCAATATTCTACTACTTTGAGATATTACTTACCAAAAACTTATTTTCTTTGGTTGTTGACGATGTTGCCCGGACTCTTCAAAAATATTGACAAAGTGTGCGTTAGATCCTCCAAAGTAGTGCATTTTGGGAGGATCCAACATGGGTGTGACAACATTTTTGGAGAGTCCGAGTAACATGATTTACCAGTATTTGGACTACATAAATCTTGCAGCTTTCCATAATGGCTTTGTGTCGTGTGTTATTCTTCTGATGACTGACTTAGCTTCTTATGTGTCCAAAGAAAAAAGAAAGAACAAAATGCCGGAAGGAATAACAGCTGAGAATCTTTTGAACAACATCATGGACTCTATTTCTGAGGGTGAGCTGAAACATAAAGCTGCGTCATTCTTTCAAGAGGAAAGTGAAAGCTCTGTTAGTGCTCAATTCAATAGGCTATTTGGACGTCAAAAACCAATCCACCGTTGTTTGGGTGGAGGCAAATGTACGGTAGTTTTATACATTATCGTCTTTATCTCGTTATGGCTGTATAGCAATACTGAATACGTTTCCTCGGATTTGTAGCTGCTGATAGCATGTTGTGGAGAAACAAGAAAATTTCAGCTGGCGTTTTAATCAGTGCTACAGCCATCTGGGTGCTATTCGAGTGGCTTAACTACAATTTTCTTTCACTCGTGTGCTTTGCTCTGTCCTTTGGTCTGATTGCGCAGTTTCTGTTGAAAAATGCCTCTGGGGTAATAAACAGGTAGCCTTTGTTATCTGTCACCATCTGTTGTTTATTATATTTCGGTGATCACACTATTTTGTTGATGTTACTGTTCCTTGCCTCTATGTTCTACACTATGTCCCTATTAGTTTCCATGTTTTCTTCACTGCCATTTTTCCTTTTCATTACTACTTTGATTTGCTTCACTTGAGTTGAGGGTCTTTCGAAAATAGCCTCTCTACCTCCACGAGGTAGGGGTAAGGTTTGCGTACACTTTACCCTCCCCCAGACTGCACTTCGTGGAATTTCATTGGGTATGTTGTTGTTGGTAATAAACAGGTAATAATAATGCCCGACATTGTCACATTGCATATAAATGCCTCCGTTGGGTTTTAATTTTAAAGCTACAATATATCGTGTTACTTAACTCATCCAGTTAAGGTTTAGGTTGAATATTCACATTCTTTCACATATAGGATATTTCCTCCATGTCTGTTATTCTTTTTTCGTTTTTCTTCAATGATTCTTTTAAGGGAAAAGTAACCAGAGTTATTTATGTAATATTTCAGGTGCTATAAGCCTATGACAATGCGGTCTGCTTACATTGTATCACAAAATAAGAAGTCATTGCTATAAACTATAAAGTACTACACCTTGTTTTTCTCCTAACACTCAAAAGTGTTGAATATTTAAGGATATCAAAATAAAAGTTGCGAACAAATAGAATGCTGTCTCCCAAAGACTGTCCATTTTTTAGCAGCTAGTTGGTAATACTCTAACGTTTTTCTACCTAATAGATCCCTTTCTATTTATTGGTGTAGAACTTTATAAACATTATATCCAAGTACTATTAAATGTGACTCCCAATGCACCCAAGGGTGTGGCCTAGTGATTAATGAGGTGGGTTGAGAACCATATGGTCTCAGGTTCAAATCCCAATGGAGACAAAAAAAAAACACTAGGTGATTGCTTCTCATCTGTATTAGCCTTAGTGGACAGAGTTACCTAGTGGGTATCCCGTTGAATTAGTCGAGGTGCGTGCAAGTTGGCCTGCATACCACAGTTATCCAAAGAGAAAAGTGACTCCCAACATCAATTTGAAATGGTGCACCATACTTTGTTTCTTTTTGATTTTTTTCATCTCTTTCCATTCGGGATGTGCTTTAATATATAACTCAAATTAGAATTAAGGCAGAGTGAAGTCTAACATAGGACTGGCCTTGAGTCATGGGTCTAGTTGGTAATACCTAATTCGGAATTTATCTGGCGTAAAAGACTCCATGACCTGTAGTGGAGATTGTATATTTTCTAAAGCAATGTTCTCTTTCTGTCCTTTATTGTTCTAATTTGTGTGCTATATCACATTCTTGAATCAAATTAACGGCAGTTACATTCTATGGCAACAGGTCTCCTACGGTTCCTCGTCTTGTCTTACCTGAAGACCTCTTCATCAATATTGCCAAGAGAATAGGCACTGAAATAAACCATGGTTTGGGATTCCTTCAAGATGCTGCCTTGGGCAGTAATCTGAAACAATTCATAGTGGTATGCTTAAAGTCACTAACCATACATATGTATCATCAATTCTATTCAAAAGGATATGCTTACCGTAAAATAATAGAAAGTATGAAGTATTTGATTTGAATTATGTGGTCCTATTCCAAGTTACCTTTTTTTTTTGCGGGCATTAATCTTGCAGACTTTCTTTGACTGTTGTAACCTTTTTATTTGTATCTTTTCCCTAGGTGAATTGTGACGTAACACGTAAGTATGAACTGTGTCCAATCATTGACCACCAGGCAATAGTTGCCAAGTGAGTTAGGTTTGCCTTCATAGGCTAATCGAGATTAGGTTTTCCCTTTTAAACTCAATTACGAGATCCCAAGACTTCTGCCATTGTTTGTTCAATATTATATACTTGCTAACTTATTTTCACGATCCCTAGTGATATTTTTGGAGTAAGATTGATATGTTAGGCGAAAATTCTATGCTCTGATCACTAAATTTTCTTGCAGCTGTTTGGCATCCCCCCCACCCCCCTCACAAAAGACTGTTGCAGGTTGCCTGTCTCCCTGAAATTTCTTGCTCTTCGTTTTCTTTAATGTATTTGGGTTTGTCTTAGGTTATACTGAGCTTGTGGGCAGCTGGTATGATAGGAAGCTGGTGCAACTTCTTGACTGTTCTGTATATTGGTAAGAAATCTCTCATTTCCATGATAGCATACTACCTCTCCTTCTTTGAGTATCAACGGAAAGCATTTCATTTCCCAGATAGCAATTTCATACTGATATTAAGCTGTCTAATATACGAATATAAACAACGTCACTTGTAGATACAAATATGCAATTAATTTTTTCAGCATTTCGCTGCGTCCTATGATATCACCTTAAACTCGTTATCTGGAACGTGTAAGACTACGAAAAGTAGAATAGAGTCCTTTGACTAACTTTATTGACCGCCTTTGTAATGTCTTTGTTGCTAGTTTTAACACAAACAGGATCAGATGTTTTAAAAGTAGTACTAATTAGTGTTGGAAATACAAGGCGGACCCTTGATAATATCGTATGACACAAAGACGATGGAAGAGGGAGAAAGACATTAAGTTCAATCATATCATTAGAAAAATTCCGCTCTTACATTGCAAGATCACAAAAAGGGGTTTATATAAGTGTCAATAGAACTTCATCCCAACTAACTGGTATCGCCTTATACAGATGAGATTGCATCTCCATGATAGCATGATGTATGTTGTTGTTTTGCTGTTTTTATTACAAATATTAAAAGACGTTGTCTTGACTATACTTTGAATTTTGACTGTTTATAAGGTTTCATCGCTGCTCACACTCTTCCAGTGCTATACGAAAGATATGAAGATGAAGTTGATGGTTTCGTTTACAGTGCCCTCGATAAGCTTCAAGGCCATTACAAGAAGCTGGATTCTGGTGTCCTCAGCAGACTACCGCGAGGCAGCTTCAGGGGAAAGAAGGTTGAATAGATCTTCAATTACTGAACGTAATCTCGTGGAGAAAAAACATTAGCTTGTATGCAGAGATCAAATATGAAACTCGTATTCGTGCTTAGGCAACAATTTGCTGTATGTATGCTTAGGATGAATCGACGAGGTATTGAACCGTAGGTCACCTCGTTGTGTAAATGTTGCATGTACTTCGATTGATGTTTGGCATTTGAAAATAAATTGAGTTTTTGCAGAAAGTATATGTGAACGTCCCAGTGGTCAACGAAATGGGTTGATAACTATGAGGTTTCAAGTGATTTCTTCTCATTTGTTCTACCCTTGGCAGATAAAGTCACCTGGTAACTATTGTTGGTATCCTGTGGAGTTAGTTAAGGTGTGGGCAAGTTGGCTCAGACACCACGGTTATGACAAAAAAAAAGTATGAATGGTAGTTTTTGAAGAAGTTGCATGTGTTGCATTGGGAATTTGGAATGACAAATGAGCTTTTTTGCTTATGGCTTTACTCAACATTCTTGTGGTAGTTGTATTAACATAGATAAAATTGAATTCAGACTAAAATACTAAATTTCATATTAGTCTGTTTAAAAAAGAACGACATGTGTTTACATTTGAACTTTTAAACTTCTTATTGTATAGGCAATTGAGTTCGTATAGCCTCATAAACTTCATAGGATGTTTAAAATCATAATTTTCAAAAATGCTTACTTCTTATTTTCTTAAATTTCGTGTCTAATTATATATTCTCACAAATTGAAATGTAAGGATGAGTGTTTGATTATTTCTTCAATTTGGTTCAAGTTCAACCTTTGTTGTCTCTTAAATATTCTGGTCATGATCAAATTTCATCAAAAGCAAAAATACTAGGTGGTTTTTCTCCATCTATCCAAAGCTCGACACGTAAAGTACTCATCTAGCCTATGCTGGTGGTAGATAGCAAGCTAAGTCCCTTATAATAGTAGTAAAGGTATGTACATGTTGATTCGAATACCACAGTTGTAATTTATAGATGCTTAGTTGTATTATTATAATCATAATGTACATAAACATAAGAAAAATGGTAAATATCAACTAGCTAGGGGACTATTTAATTCTATACTCACATAATTAATTAATTAACAATTAAAAAAATGATTAAGAGAGAGTTAAATCTAGGTTAATTTGAGTACTAGTTTCTCTATACTCATATATTTCACCAGCATTATCTTCTTCTTCCTCCTTTGTCATTCCACTACTTATACTTCCTTCTGCTTCCTGGAAATTAAAAAAAAAACACTTTAAATATGCATAACATTTAACTTTTTTTTTTAAAACACGGCATGTAAAAGATATTTATACAATCAAATCATGACTAATTATAAAGTAATTATATCTGTTAGGATTTAATTTATATATGCTGATAGTATACAAGTTTTATACTATCAATGTATGCATGTCTGTTTTTCCAACAATGTAATTCGACATACTTCACTAACATATATACTATTATTACGTAGACTTTCAAAATATATATTACGTATCTTATCACTAATTAAGAGTTCCCTACGTATCTTACACTTAGATACTTGTATTTTGCTACCAGATACACAAAAATATGGAGAGAGATAAGCGAGACCAGGGAGAGAGGCGAGCGAAATTTGTATAGATACATGTTTTGTATGCATGCGGTCATGTGGAGTGACAGATACATGTGAATTACACTAGATACTTGTATTGTATATATATATGTGGAGTGACTCGCATGTATCTGGGATACCAGATACATGGGAGAGTGGCGAGCGAGATTTACTATGTATCTCATATACATGTGAATCCACTTGGATACCATGTATCTAGAACAAATTACACCTAAATTTGACCATATGTTTTCGAGATACATGTATCTGGACGTATATGGAGACACCAAAATCTGGTAAAATATGTAAAATTACAAACTAGAGTGTATCTAAGTAATTAACTCCTAAACTAGTGGAATTTACGTAAGTTTCTCATTATTTATAAGGCTACTTATCCCATTTTTACAAACAATTATCTGTAGTTGCCTTTTAAATTACCTAATAATAAAAAATTATTTTACATTAGCAATGTATATATTTATATTATACTTAAACTTCTCTATGATAAAACATTACACGTTCTATCGCAAATTACGTGGATATATACATCATACATGTGTGACGATGTTTGATATGAAGTTTAAAATTAAATTATTTTAAAATAAGAAAGTATCACGATATTTTTTTGGATCGATTAAAATTAAAAGTGTAACACGTAAATTTATAGAAAGGAAGTAATAGGTAACTTGATAAATATGATAACTAATCTACTGTTAAAATTCACAAATTATATATTAGAAAATTATTTACCTGGTAATAATTATAATGTATATTTTCACCATTTTTGCTTCCAGATTCTTTCTGTTTGCTGCTATTTTGAGCATGTTCTCCTAATATTTTTGACACATGCCTGAAAAAGGATATAAAGATTAGGGGACTTCGGAGCTAGAATCTCAGCTACGGATTTGGTCGAATTCAATAACGTTAGGATTTTTATTAATGGAATTCAAAATATAAAGAAGTAAATATACGAGGAAGTCAAAAGAAATTCAATACCTACTATATATACATAAAAAAATAATTTGATCCTATATATGCAACATAATTTTTTGACGAATGTAACCTCCTACATTTTAAATGGAAATTACAACAACAAATAACAAAAAAAATTAGTATAATTCTGTAAGTGCGGTTTTAAGAGGGTAAGATATACTCTGTCTTAATATAATTAACCTTATTGTATGAGATAGAGAGGTTGTTTAATTTCTAGTGACCCTCGATAAACCCTCCTTATTTATTATTCCGGACTTGAAATCGACAATGTAAATGAGCTTAGATAAGAGTACTTACATTGGTGAAGACAAATTGAAATCTGGCATCACAACATGGAGGCTTGGATGCTCCCTCATGTTTCTATACATCTGATTTTCATAATTAATTATAATTAATTCAAATTGATGAACATAAAAATTAATAACTAGTAAATAATAATTAGACTTATTATAAAATCACAAAAATAAGTAATATCTTTTAATTTGAGTTATACAAATTTCATAAGAGACGCAATATCATTAACAAAAGATCACCATAGCTAGGTTCAAGAAAATTGTTGTTAATCCTATTTTTAGTAACGAATTATTACAAAACATCGATGAATTATCAAAAAAGTTCATTTCGTGGCGATGTATTTAGCAATGAATTAGCGATGAATATTTTATTTTTGTTGTAGTCAATCAATAATTTTAGAACTTCTAGGGCTAGGATGATACATACCTAACCTAGTTATATATTTATTTAAATTAACATATTATGCAAAATTCTTCCACTAATTTAATTAGATGTTTGGACCAATCTATATGTCTACATAGACCTAGCTCCAATAGGCATTATATATATTTACTTGAGTTTAATTTGTTGTGCAATTGGAATATTAGAGTTACTAATTAGAGTATCATTTCCATGTGCCATAATGGGTCCACAAGGTTTATAAGAAATTGAATTAAACTTTCGAAAAAAGAATCAGGCTCGTACATGATGAGTCAGATTCAAGATACAATGAAATAAATAAGAGCGTACTCTCTCTGATACTTAAACTTTTTAAAAAATCGAAGCAATAACTACTTAAAAAGTAAAGCTATATATGCAAGAATCAACCCTAAAACAAATATAAGCACTTTATAATAAAAATTTATAGCATCATTCGAGTAAATAAAAAAACTTCAGTAATTATTATTAGTAACTACTAACTAGCTAGGGTAAATTAGGTATATAGTACCTGGAGATGACTTTTAACATGAGAAATCTTCAATCCCTTTATGGCCATCATCTGCACAATTCTCTTTGGTGTTGCTTCTATAAAAATACAAGCAAAAAATAATAATCATTAATTCAAATAATCGAGGCGGATTTAGAGCAAATTCTATGTATTCAACTAATTAGTTATTATTTTTTACTAGAACTCTCTCTATATATATAGAGAAAAGCGGACAAAGCCTTTATACTATAAGTTCAACTGAATCAATATTTTTCAAATATGCGATAATTCATATACTTTTATATAGTAATAAATAGTGGATTCTGAACACATAATTGTATAAGTGCATGAGTTCATTATTAAAACATTTCTAAGTTGAAATCTTCAAGTTTAAATTATGAATTTGTTAATTTGTGTACCTATATAAAAGAAAAATTAAGATATACACATATAATAATAAAATTATATCGATCAATCTAAACATAACTGTTATATTCTGAATTCATCTTTGCTAAATACATGCAACCCCACCCCTCATTTTTTTTAGGTTACTTCTAAATCCAAGAAAGAACACCAAAAGAATGAATTTCTTTTCTTTTTGAGAAAAACTTACTATTTCTTCCATCAAGATGTTCAATAACATATAATCTACTGAATATGTACATATAATAAACTTCAGAATCCATAAAATTCAAAACCTGAATTTGCTTCTACGACTAATTAATAACACCCTTCTAGTTTTCTATTGATTAAAAACCACATGAGATTTTCAAGAATTTCTTTGCTTATTATTATAGAATATAATTTATTTATTTTTAAACTATATTCTAAATTATTATGATGTTTTTATTGAAAAAAAGAACTTACTATTTCTTCCACCAAGATTTTGAACAGATTGAATAAAGAGATGATGAAGTTGTGGAGTCCATCTTAAACGTGGAACTAATGATTTCTTGTATTTTCTAACTTCCTTCATTTTTTTGGATTTTCTCATCATTTCTTGTGACATTAAGAATCTTTCCATCATCTCAAAAACCATATACTATAACATGAATTTATATATATAGATATATTATATATATTGTGTAAAAAAATAGGAAAGACCAAATATATATATATATGATGGGTATGAGATTATGGACTTTTCTTGGTTTGTGTGGACTTTAGGAAACATCCTCTAATTCCTTGTCATTTCCATCTTGAATTCCCCTCACAAGAAAAAAAACAAAAAAATTGAAAAAGGAAACAGATAAAAAAAAAAAAGCCCTATAATGGGAATAATAATAATAATAAAATAATAATAATAAAAAAAATTCTTTGTAAAATGACTTTGCCAAATGGTTATTTATAAATTATAATGGATTGCATGTGTAACGAGTGGCGGAATACGCGAGTACTAACTTATTTCAAGCATCTAAAACCACTCGGCTACAACAACTCATTATGTTATGTCCAAAATATGTTATTTAATTATTTTATGTATCACTATAATTGTATACACGGTATTATTTTTTTCTGGAAGAGTGTCCAATTGGACACCTAGCTACACCACTGTGTGTAACCCCTTTTTCTATTTCTCATATGATGTCTGATATTCGTTTTGAAATATCGACTAGAAGTATTTTTTTGAAATAATAATTATTGCTCAAAAGTATCTTTTTAATAAATTTATTATTAACCAAATAGAAATCACTTTTCACCAAAAGCACTTAAAAAAACACTTTTCAAAATAGGTTAATTTTAAAATTTTGATTGAGCAAACTTCATATTTTGTACATAACGCCCATTATAAAAGTGGGAACACTCCACTACTAGTGTCTTTCTTTTTTTTAAAGGCTCAAACTCAAGACTTATAATTAAAGAGTAAATTTTTTTTATCGATTACAACTTCATCCCATCACAAATCTTGATGATTCATATGTATAAACCCTACTATATATATTTATATACTCAATTAAATTGCACGGTCAACAATATAAAAATTTCTTTACGATGACAATATATGATAAGTAATATTATACCTTATTTCGCAAGAGGTAAAATAAAAATTATAATGCAATCATAATTTTCTTGATCTCGAAAAGAAATTAGTCAAATAAATTTAATAAATATCTAATTTAACCCTATAAACCTATACATTTAAGAATTACAATTGGCATATATCCCAAACTATACACTAACTTTAAATATGGTATTTAAGGATTGCTTTTAATAGTCTAATTAATTTGTGTAACTTTTTTCTTTTTAAAAAAACCATAATTTATGTTTGATGCCATAAAAACTATTGCTACGATATTAAATGTATATCGTACAGTTTAGGCACGATAATTAATAAATGATTGCATATAGAAAACTAACTACAATTGGTGTCATCTAATTTTGCTGTTCTATATTTTTTTTTTTAAATTGCTAATTTTTCGTTAAATAAATCGTAGCTAACATAACATTTTTGTTATTTCATCACTAATCGTCATTCGTTAAAGAATTAGTGATGCACTACTAAAAAATGAGTTAAAATTTGTGACAAATCTTATATAGCAACAAATTATAATCAAAATAACAATAACATCAATTTCAGTGTGATTTTATAAATGAAATCTAAGAAACAAATACAATAGAAAAACTATATTCGATCGACTTTCTGCTCTAACGGAAATTATTTTTTCATTGATGAGTATATATTAATATATAAATTTTAAATTAAATAATTTAAAAATGGAAAGTCAAAGGTTTGAACCAAGAAAAAAAGTGTTATATATTTTCTCTTCCTATTAAATACTATTTTTTTAACCTAAGCTAAAGTCTCAAAATTCTCATGTCAAAAAAAGGCGGTGCCTACTTTTGTTTTAATTTCAACAGTAAACCAAATTCAATGTAACCCTAGAATTTCATGAAAGCAACATATACTATATCTATATTTATTTATTTTGCTAAAAGTAAGAATATAAAATAAAAATAAATAAAAAAGAAAGAAGAAGTTCACTTGATATTCATATATATAGTGCATAATTGTCTACCCTATAAAGGGTATCTAGGTTTTTTAGGTTCCACTTAATACTAATTAAACTTACATTTGGTTTCACATTTGTTCTCTTTACTATTTTCTCGATTTTAAAATAAGTGTTATTTTAATAAAAAGAAATTATTACTACACAAGTCTTTAGGAATTTAAGATAAAAATTTATTTATATATTTTTCTAGCTATATCTTTATATATACTTCATCTGCTTAAAAATATTTAACTTTTTAGAGACATTTATTAAATAAGGCGGTTTAGTAAACTATACATTGTGTTTATTGATTTCTTAATGAACGTGATTTTTGCTAAGGGTAACACTTATTTTTGGAAGGAGGGGGCTCGCTAGTATCAAATTGTACATTAAGATGGTAGAAATCTATTCATTCTTAATATTTAAGATGTCATGTTTAAATGTTGTGTGATGTTCATGACAGAGAGCGGGTTCATTAACAGGTCGAAAAGAAGAACTTATTAGATATAGCACAAGTTCACACGGTACAAGCAGTTTTAGACTCAATGAATAGTGTAGCTCGAGGGGAGCAAATCTATGAGATTTGATGGGGCAAAGCGGACAGTACGTGTCATGAGCTTGGGTTATAATAACATATTGAGAATGAACAAAACTACTCCCTTTGGAAATTCGTCAAAAATCAGGAGATTTCCTATGAAAAGCCTATCAAAAACATTTTCAACAAGCAAATTTCTGAGTGATTTCTAATGAAAATTTCGTTAAAAAAATCATGTTTTTTATTGAAGTTATGAACCGCGCACTTCACTCTTTCGGTGAATATATCCAATGTGAATTCTAATTAATTAGAAATATTTAAATGCCATATAATGAAAGGCCAGTCTGATGTACAAAAAATATTTCGCGTTAATAAGGTTTGGTGAAACATAAAATACTAAAATGAAAGACATTCTAATTTTTATTTTTATTTTTGGTTGTTTGCCCTTAGAGGACTTTGAAAACAAATACAAAATAAATATATCTAAATTAGGATTTCAATTCGTTGAATAAAGTTACAAATTATAAAAAACAATACATGTGATTTATTGTTAGAGGGGAAACTATATAATATAGGTATTCAAATGCAACATAGCAATTAATCAACAAATGTTTTCGTTGGAATTGAACAATTCTTTCAAAATGAATATATATATAAAAGTTAAAAATTAGAAAATAATAAGTCAAAAAAGTTGGCAACAGGGAGAAACTATATGTTATAGCCAAGGGCAAAAACGTATGTAGAGTTGAAGGTTCTGGTTCGGCAAAATCTCATAACTTTGACTTCAAATTTTATATTCATTTAAAATTATTTATTTAAAATTAAATAACTTTAATTTAAGAAATTAAGAATCAGAACTCGTAAATTTCAAATTATCAATCTATTATGACTCAAAGAGATTCAAATAACTTAATCGGATAACTTACTTTAGCACTAAAACTACACAGTTTAAGACTATCTTTTCATATTTTAGCATCTCATGATAATTTTAGGATCACAAAATCTAATAACCATTTATTTTGGTATCTTATATACTCATATATTTAGCTTAAAATTACATTACAAGATTTTTAAAAAGATATATATATTTTTTTTTAATATTGTGTATCAGTCAAATGAGGACACATAAAATGACACTAAACGAAGAAATTACTACAAACTTATTAATGTGAAAAGTGTCTTTATTTTTTAATATATAGTACCACACTATGTCTATTTTTTATTTTCTCCCTTTTTGAATGAACTTACGTAGAAATCCCATGCAAGTAATAGAGAAAACGAAAAAATGAAAATAATAAAGATTAGGTACAATAATTGCGGCCGGGATATTATTTTTATTATATTTTTTTAATAAATTTAAATAGATAAAAGTAGAGTGGAAAAGGCAGTGCAATTAAGGGGCTTGAATAATTCATTCCAAACTGAAAATGACTAGGCAATTATTATAATCTTTGAATAATCTCAAAAAGGCAAAATGATGTTGACAACTCACCTTATCACAGTATCGAAATAAAAAATTCCGTTAAAGATATTCAAAATTTAATATATATGTATGAAAAGTAATTTTTGATGAATAAATTTTGTATAATTTTTTTATATATAGAGTATAATTCTTCGATCACTGATCTATGCCATTGCCTCGCGATATGTACAATCAAATCTCTTCATAATAATATTATTTCACTATAATAATTAATTTTATTTCCAAAAAAAATAAAATTTCATGTTATATTATATTATATATTTATATAATAACATTTCGATATAATAGTCAGAAAATGTTGTTCAAATAAAATAATGTCATTAGATGTTTTATTGTATGTACAATTGAGTTATATAACTGCCGTACGTATGGATAATTCATCAATAAAATGGATTGATCAGAATCATAAAAAAATCGCCTAGAATCATATTCTAATGAAAGCAAAAATATTAAGTGATTTTTTTATCCGTCATTATATTATTTTGATATTCTTAATATCACTGAATTAAAATCATATAGGCAGTTAGTTAGGCGCTAGATGTAAATAGCAACTAATAAATTTATAGTTTTTGCTAATTATATATTGAGAGAGTATACCTATCCAATAATTATATTAAATGAAATCATATCACAATATTTTATATATATATATAGAGAGAGAAAAAATTTCTATTTTTTTCATGAAAAAGAACTAAGTATAATTTTTTTTCCTTTTCACTCGTTCAGAATATATACAGTTATGTCATCTCTATGTAATTATTACTATTTTTAATATAATATAAGTTGGAATCTTGCCTAATTTTTATTATATTTTTATTTTTAATATAATATAATTTTAAAAAATGAATTATATTGTGGAATGAAAGGATGGAAATTATCACACGTTACTAACAATGTATTTGTACTTCTATTTTTTATTAAATTATAAACGTGCGTTATTTTCAGCCTTTTATTTAATTTCAGCAAGTCAAATTCTCCATACCATAAAGTCTATAGCATATTCTATATCTAGCTGTTAATAAACCTAAGGTCAAAATTATAGTTGTAATAACATGGAA